ACAGTTTAATAGGATTGGAAAGGGGACTAGAATGTCACCTGGCAAAGACAGCCCTTTTTGGCCTTGAAAGCTACTTGTGGGCCCACAATACTTGAACTGGGATGGGATGCTGCGGCCTATACAGAAGGCTTGGTTGGGCTTTTGGTGTGAAGTGTTGGAGAAGGCAAACAGAAAGAGTGAGAAGTCTGAACCAGTGACTGGAAGAGTTAAAGTTTAAAATGGACTCCATGTGTACCCAAGTTGTTTATTTAAATCCTCTTTTTAGGGGAGTATTAAATTATATATTTACCCAGATACAAAACAATTGGGATAAGTTGATATTTTGTTTCTTTTAAAAAATGTTATTTTTTGAAGAAAAGGCAATATTGAAAGGAATGTCTGCTAAGCAGGAATTAGTTCTTTTCGGGGAAGGTGGTTGAGAGGGGAAGGGGTTCAGGGAGACACATTTCAGGCAACAGGACAAGGATACACAGAGAGCCTTGCATGTGTTCAGGGTCCAAGTGACTTAGCTTGACTAGCCAAAAGCTGTGAGGATGGATGTGGAGGGAGTGGGGTCTAACCAGGATGGCTTTGTGTACAGCTAGTGGTATGTGCCTACAGAAGGAATTGCTAAGGCTAAGGTTGAGCTCTTAGAAGTGTGGACTTGTCAGCAGGTGACTGGGTAGATGGTTCTGGAAATCAGGAGAGAGGCTAGCTTGGATGTCATCAGTTAACCCATAATGACTGTAGCTACAGAAGTAGAGAAGGGCCTCTAAAAACATACTGAAAGATGAGAAGGAAAGGTGAGAAAAGGGACCAAGGGACAGCCAGAGGCAGCAGAACCTGGAGCTGGAGAGGGATGAGAGCAACCCTGGGTGGCTCACAGGCTCAGGTGGAGGCCCACAATGTCCAGTGATGACTCCAGGGAGGGAGTGGTGGGCTGGGGACACAGAGTGCTCCTCTTTGGCTAGAGGATGTTTAGGATCTGGGTGGTAGGAAGTTGATATGTTTCTCAAATGATAAGTATTTTCTGACAGTGTGAGACTGACTATACAGTACAGTAGGAGATTGGAGGAGAATGGGGTGGGGGTTGAAATGGTATGGCCACAGAAGGAAGGTGGCTGATGTTAAGGACTGAGTGCCTGGACTAAATAAACAGTAGTGATGATGGGGTCTGAGAGCTGAGGGTCTCTGAAAGAAGGGATGGCCAGAAACTTCATCAACAAGCAGGGCCTGTGTGGCGCTTCAGGCACCTAGGTGGGTACAGGCCTTAGTAAACAGTAGGCACCTAGAAAGGTAAAGACCTCGTTAAACAGTTGGCACACAGGTGGGTGCCGACCTTAGCAGAAGATGCTGCATATCTGCTACAAGCTGGACTCTGTTCCAGGCCCCGGTGTTTGCTGCACTAGAAACTGCACAGTACAGCTCAGTGGTAGGGGACCACCTCTGTGTGGAGGCTCAATGAACAGCAAGTGCAAAGGGAGGATAAAGAGGTGAGGGGTGAGAGGCATGCTGGTGGTCAGAAGGAAAGCAATTGGGCCAGTCACATTACAGCTGGACTTGCAAATTACACATGTAAGCTAAGCAGACCTACTGGCCAGCAGCCACCACAGAGGGTTGAACTGACATCTGCATTGCATGCTCACCACACTCTAAATGGATCTTCTCAAACTCTGGTATATGCATGTTAAGATTTGTATGCTGGGCTAGAGGTATGGCTTAGTGGTAGAGAGCTTGCCTAGCGAGTGTGAGGCTCTGGGTTCAGTCCCCACTACTGGACTCTGCATCTCTTTCCCCTTCTTTGGCTTTGAGGATCAAAACCAGGGACTTGCACAGCTACCTCTTCAAGTAGCTTTGCGTATCTCATCAGCTCCTGGGCAAGAACAGTGCTGCTGGTTAGCAGAGAACTTTAAAAAATGATTTTCTTGACTGGGCAGTGGTGGCATACACTTTTAGTCCCAGCATTCAGGAGGCAGAGGCAGGCAGAGTTCAAGGCCAGCCTGGTCTATAGATTGAGTTCCAAGAGAGTCAAGGATACACGGAGAAACCCTGCCTCAAGAAAACCAAAGGAGTTTTTTTTTTTTTTCTTTTTATAAAAAATGCATATTCCCATTATATACAACGTGATGTTTTGAAACACATATACATTGTGCAATGGCTAAACAGAGCTAATTAACACACATTACCTCATATACTTACCTTGTTTTTTTGGTGGTGAGGACATTTAATATCTATCTGCCTAGCCATTTTCAGGAATACAGTATGTTATTATTTACTAGAGCAATATATGGTGTGACAGATCTAACACACTGTTCCTATTCAAAATTTTTATCCTCGTTATCCTCGACCAAAAGCTCTCCACCTCCCTGTTTGTGTGACAGCTCATTTGTCCTATGGTTCTTTACCTTTTGGTGAGGTCCTGGAGCCAGCCAACTGTTATGTTTTTAGGCACCCAATGACCTATCTAATAAACAATGATAATAGGAGTTTTCACACTACTGATAGCCACAAGTCAGGGAACTGTTTGTGTAGGGGGAGGGTTGTTTTTTTGCTACCCTTTGGAGAGCTGGTTGTTAAACAATTTATATACCCGGTGCTAGCCTACCTACCATTAACAGTGTTAACACAATAGAAGGGCCTCTGTGTCAGGGGTCTGGAGAGCAAGTTTTGTGATGGCCTCAGCAGGAGCTGATAAGGAGACAGCAACAAGAAGGTGCCTGGGGGAGGCCCTAAGGCCCTGACTTATCTAGTACACCAGAGTATCCACCAGAGGCAAACACTCAGTACTATCCTATCTGTGTGTCCGTGAGTCACCTACAGAAGGAGAATTGGAAAGAGAAGAGGGAGGTGTTATGGGCAGAGTGACTCGCTGGAAATTCTCATCTACAGGCACTATCCTTTCCTGGTCACCCCTGGCCAAACCTGTCTCCATTGCACTAGCTGGTGGACATGTTTGCTAGAAAAAAAAATAGATAGTGTATCTCAGCCCCAGAGAAGAAAGCGGGTTAATTTTTATTTGATTTGCTTACTGACCTAGAAAAATGGAGGCAAATTAAAACAAATCAAAGCAATCATTCATCGACTATGTCTTAAACAAAACCAGTGGAATCCTGTTGGGTGACCCTTTGAAGAAGAAAATGGAATCCTATTGCTGGAGGAAAAAAACTGGGGGGGGGGGGGGTCTATGGATTTGACCTGTGGGGTACTTGATGTTTTAATTTCCTCTTTCTTTTTCTTTAAATTCTTTTTAATTTCACAAGCCTGCTTATTTAGATCACAAGCTCTCCTGGGTCCCTCAGCTGTCTGGCAGATGGGTCACTGCCAGCTATGCTCAGGTTACTCTCTGAGACTAAACCTCCCTGCCCACCTGACGATGCTGAGGTGTCCTTGAGGCTTTGAAGAAGGTGGCAGCAGATGAGGCCATTACAGGGGCTCCCAGCCCTTAGAACAGGGAGGCTCCTGAGGATGAGCTCAGGGACACAGGCTCTGGTTCATAGAACCATGGCTGGTCAGGGGTCCTGACATATGTACGGGCCAAGGCTGTGCTACAGCCATGCTTCAGAAAGCTTCTGTCATTTGGGTTAGCTCCCTGGGAGCCTGCACTGGCACCAGGGAAGAGGAAGAGCTGCTATCTCTGGATGTAGAGGGATGAATTCACTATGCATTCAGTGTGTGAGGATGCTGATGGTCTATGTAGGTGTGTGCATGGTGGAGGGGTACAGCCTGCTGCAGCTTTGCAGGTCTACATCTCCTTTCCTTCCAGGGGAGATGGGGGGAGAGGTATGTGCTCAGAGTAGGCCAAGCCTCTGAGACAGCTGCCATCTAGGGCCTGACAGATGCTCCCTATCCCTAGCTTAACTCCTCCCACACATTCACTGCATTCAGCAAGTGCCAATGGCTACCTAGGCAGGAGCCACTAAGCTGTCCTCTTAATAAAGGGGCTGAACTAGCCCAGAGATACAAGGATGGGGACCCTCACTGCTGAACCTAATACCTGAAGACCCCAGAACCCACAGAACAGCAGGCATGTCACATTCACCCATCCCGGGATTCTCGGCTTCTCTTTACTGGGTACCTCTTCTACAGTAGAATGTGGCAGGGATGGGACAGGTCACAGGGGGATGATGCTCTTACAGGAGAGAAAGAGAAGGAAGGCCTGAAATCAGGAATAAGGATCTGTTTAACTCACTGACCTCAGCAAACTGCAACAGAGCCTGTTGGGTGGGTGTTAACACAGGGCTGGAACATTAGTAACAGTGGAGAGGGAGAGAGAGAGAGAAAGAAAAGTGTTTTAGAGATAGGAGAGGCACAGGAAGCCTGAATTACAGCAGGATGGAGATAGGATGACTCCGTGTGTGTGTGTGTGTGTGTGTGTGTGTGTGTGTGTGTGTGTGTGTGTGCATGCACTCATATGGGGGTAGTGTTCACTTCTAGCCAAAGGATGTCTTTCTCAAAATGACCATATGGATGCAGGAAGCCACTTTGGAATACACTGAACTCTCAAAGATACTAGTCTGGGGTGAAAGACATGTGAAAGAAAAGCTGTGTATTCGTGAGGGGTGTATGCTTGAGCTAGCTCTGCCTGTTTGCTGGCAGGTCCCTGCCCCCAAGAGACTGGAGCATGAAGGCGAAGAGATGCTAGCTACTATTTACGTCTTCCTTCCTTTGAGGTGGTCTTGTTGTTGTTATTTTTTGGAATGACTAAAAAGTATAACTATCTGTCTGTCTCTCTCAGTGTTAGGGATTATGCAGGCCAAGCAAGGACTCTGATGCTGAGGTACAGCCCCAGACCTACAATTGTAATTTTCAGGGTATTTCTGAGTGTTGCTCCAAGGGGAGAGGTGGTTCTGCTGGGAACCCTCCTTCCCATAGGACTTTCCAGTGTCACAGGCTTCTGTAATGTGTAGCTTAGCACTCAGAACGCTAAACCATGGGAATAAATGGTTAAAAACATGCCCTCTCTCCCCAGCTCAACCCCACAGGCGCCAGTGACAATCAGGCTAGTCTGTTGACACCTTTACCTGTTCCAGATCCTACAACATCTCGGCTTGGTGACTCCGCCATGGCATCTGCAAGCCGTTCCCGGAGGCCCTCGTCTGTGTGCTCCATGGAGGCCATGTGCCGCAGCCCAAAGCCCTCAGGCCAGCTCCCACACACCTCCAGCAGGGTCACGCTCCGGTCAAAGGTACCTGTGACACATGTGGGACACAAGATGTTGAGTCCATGCTTAGAGAGGGCAGGCTGTTCTCTGTCTTCCCACCACCCATGGCCTGTCATGCCCAGAGGAATGAAGGAGGGGTCATCCAGGAACAGGAATGTGTGAAGTTGAGTACAGTAGCTCATGCCCCTGGGTCAGACAGCACCGCAGTGAAATGGTCTTTGAAGTGTGATGGGGTTCCCTTGGTCTTCAGAGATCTCTGAGAGCTAGGGCAGAGGGGAGGAACCCCTTCCCAGGTTCACCTCAAGCAACTCTGATGTTCCGGGACATAATCACTCTTAACCTACAACCTCAGGAGTGGCTGAAGGTGAAGTGAAGCTCAGTTGCTGGAATGCTTTCCTAGTACACATGTGCTTGGGTACTATCCCTAGCACCAAATTAAGAAACCTGATGGCACATGCTTGTGATCCCAGCACTTGGGAGGTAGAGGCAGGACGATCAGAAGTCCAAGGTCATCCTCAGCTCACTGTATGAGGCTGGTCTAGGCTACATGAGACACTGTCTAAAATAAAAGGTGGCCCGGGGAGATTGCTCAGTGACTAAAGCCCTTGAACACACACGAGGTTCCAAGTTTAGAATCCAGGGAAAGGTGGGTTCAGTAGTGAAAGCATCTATAATCCCAGTGTTCCTATGGTGAGATGAGAGACAGAGACGGGGTAAACTCTAGAAGGTCACGGGCAGGCTAAGGCTAGTCTGGTGCACAGTGGTAAACAAGGCAAGGTACAAAGTGAAGACTGACACTCAAAGTTGTCCTCTGACCTCTATACATATACTGTCACACACACACACACACACACACACAGAGAGATTTAATAAGGGGAGAGGGTTATGTAGCCTAAACTTAAAAACAAAAAGCTTCCAGAACCACTGTATTCTATAACCTATACCCAGCCTCATTTACAGTTGAGGCTTAGTGAGGTCAAGGGCTTAGAATAAACAGCAGGCTGTGACAGACTTGGTGCCAGGACTCAGATGTGCTGATGCCTTGGTCTGGAACTTGTTCTACCTCACTGCAGATCGGCTCCCAGCCGTCAGGGGCATGGGCATGTGCGGGGGTTCCGTTTCAGGGATGTGAGCGATACAGCTGGGTGATAGCATCTTCAGCAAGGATCCTTCCTTAATCCAAACCTGCTCCCAAGTTCCAGAAAGTACACTGCGTTCCGCTGAATGCCAAGATTAGATGTTATGTGCAAGATCACTTCAAAGTCTGAATTCAAGTGACTCGACTTTATTCCACGGCGAGTTCACTGAGAAGGCTTACTTCATCCAGTCATTCTTGGAAAGAGATTATGGCCATGGTCTGTTGCTTTAAGCACATACCATTTCCCCCTCGATTAGGTAACTGAATCCACTACATTTATTGGGCTTGGTTCCTGCCAGCTCCAGGAGGACCAGGAAAAAATGCAAATGCCGATGTTTCCCAGAGTTAAAAGTACATGAAACACACTCTCTTTTATCAGGTCTTGTTTCTCCCCTTTGATCAGCCGTCAGAAACTATCTTTCCTCGGTGGGCAGGACTGGGCAGTGTCAGTGCACACTCGCTGCCACTGACAGGTGGTAATAGAGAGGGTGCGAGCCCCAGCCCCGGCGGGCGGCCCTGCCTGTGATAACGGTCCCAGCACAGAGGTGATAACCGTTAGTAAACACTCCGACAGCCGGTGCCTCCATACATCAGCAAAGTGGGCCCGATAATCCTGAGCTCTCTGACCAGACAAAGGCCCCTGGCTGGCCGGCTGGGATTTATATGTGTGGCAAGGGTCACTGCCGGCTCCTGAATTTCATCAGGCAACTTTGGCTTTGATTTATTTCTCACCTAATTGTGAGGTAGATTGCTGCACAGGGAGAGTGGACAGCATCTACAGAAGCACCTCCTCAGGAAGGAGCTTGCCTTCAGAGTGTGGTCCTTGCAATCAGTTTATCAGGTGGAACCTCAGCATGGTGAGCCCTCCATTGAACAGGATTAGGATGGGTGTCTAGGGAGCCAGGCAACAGAAGTCAGGGGTGGGGGCAATGAGTGTCCCTGATCCTCAAAGGTCCTAATCTGAACTATAGCCATGCACTAGCATGAGCCAGGGCCACAGCTGACACTCCAATGTTAGCAACAGCTCCCAGGAGTGTGTCCTCAAGGACACCCAACTAAGGACAGAAGCTAAGCTTCAGATCTGTTCCTATTTAGTAATATTGGGAAGGTGCCTCTAGCTGCTTTGTCCACGTCTGAGGTGGGTGGCAGCCATGACCCTTGGGAACTGATGGGCAAACTAGTCTCTGCTCCTGTCTCAAGGAATCAAGACACTTGAAAAGGTTTCCTGCTGGAGGCTGAGCTCCCTATGTTCACCAGAGAGGGTCCAGGGCCACATCTTCACTGTTGTTCCAAACAACCAGCCTGGGGCACCTATGCTCAGTGACAGCAGAAGAAAAGGTGTTACCTTTTTTCCTATTTACTTAGCTTAATTTTAGAGCCTGGAAAGCTGGGAATGGAGTGATCACTCTCATGCCACAAGAGTAGGGTACCTGGCACTAAAAGGGTGTTGGTATATAGTGATTAGAGGTCAGGGCAGGGAACTGGAAGCAGGGATAAAAGGACTGAAGCCAAGTCAGGAACAAACAAACAAACAAACAAACAAACAAACAAACCCAGAAGTTGTAGCAAGAGGAGTTTGGGTAAGAAATGCAACAAACAACAAGAAGGGTTTGGGATGGAGGGCCCGGCCACAGATGCTCTTGTTTTGAGATAGGCTCTCACTATGGAACTTAGGCTTGTCTTGTACTGTCAACCTTTCTGCATCTGCCTCCTGTGGGTATACATATGTGTCACCATGCCCAGCTAGTACAAAGTAATAGGAGAAAAGAATCATGAGTGGGTGCTAAGACTGGAAACTGGAAACCGACCTGGACTAAAACACACACTCTGACCAGCACTGGCTGCCTAACTCAAGGCAGTAGCCTTAGACACCTCACCCACCAGAAGTCATGCAACAGCGGCTGTCTTCCCCAATGTGTATTGAGAATGCCTGTCACCTTCAACCAATGCCTTCAAAAGCCTGCCCACCCCCAAACCAGCCCACATTCTTTGTAGTGTAGTCATGATGAGGACTGTCACCCTGTCAACCTGGTGACACTCAGGAGAACACAGCCAATAGCTCTAGTCTCTCAGCAAGGGCACAGCTAAGAAGCTGTGGGCAGGCCACCGGAGACCCCAAGTGTGCTCAGCAAAGGAGCCCTCCTCCTCACCGATGTCCTGAGATGCAGAGAGGTAACCGCCTCCCTCACCTTGCTAGGTGGAGGCCTGGAGGAGCCTGCCATGCTGGGCAGCAGGAACGGGGATCGGCAGGTGCCGGGTGAAGAGGCTAAGCCCTTGGAGGACAAGGTCACTTCTGGCACTTAGGAGACTGCCTGTCTTGTCAGTGTTGACAGAACAGCCACCTCTCATTTGACTGGCCCAGAGACACTCCCTTGGACAGGGGATGTTTGTGTCCCATTATGGAGACAGGACTGTTTCAGGGGGCCAGAAAATGCTCACCTAGAGCAGGCTATTTGCAGAGCTCAGGGCACACGTGCTTAGCAACCAGGGCTGCTGCTGAAGATGTTTACAAGGCCCCTCGCACCAGCTGTTCCATCTGACTCACACATTCATCAAATATTGATCAGTGTCCACTCTGATGTGAGTCAAGCCTTCTTGGGAGGAATGAGGGGAGGGCGAGAGGAGGGAAAGGTGCTGAGTTCACAGAACTCTGGGGAGCAGCAGCCACTAACATCCTGCTGAGCTAGAGAGACAAAAAGTGACTGGTTTTAACTGGTCTTCTTTTGGGAACTCCTCCCTACCCTGTTATTGTTTAAAAATCTCATTTTCTAAAACTGAGTTCAAGTCTGATCTGCTTTTGGAAACTACTCAAGGGACAATAAACACAAACTCCCAGACAGTGGGGATGGTGACTTTACCTTTTGCAGTGGAGCTTGTGAAAGCTATGAATTTACCAATAAAAATGTGTAATTGGGTCTGAGAGTACAGCTCAGCTGCAGGGTCTTCCCAGCTTGCTTGAAGCTTTACATTTAACCTTCCCACCCCCACAGGGGAGGAGGGGAGAGAGGGAGGGATGGAGAGAGAGAAGGAGGGAGTAAGAAATGGAGGAAGAAAGAGACATGCACTTGTAGGGCTGCCATGTAGCTCAGTAGTAAAGGCCTGTCTAACAGATATTATATAAGGCCCTACATAAAGATTTAGTCTTCAGCACTGGGGGAAAAAAAACCCAGTATGTTTACACATAGAAAATTATACAAGTAACTTCAGAGTGTTTATGGATGGTTAAGCATGTGGACTCAGGCTAATCTGGGGACCCTACAGTTCATCCCCATGCACACCCCATGCTGTTCACATGCTCGGCCTTCCTGTTTGGAAGTTCCTGAGGACTTGGATTCCTCTAGAGTTGAAGGAGTCCAGACTCCATGGGTCACGCTCACTCCAACAGACTTGGGAACTGACTGATTGTGGTCACCTGAGAAAGGCGACAGTCACTTCAGCCAACAGCCTTTGGACCGAGTGCCAGAGCCTGAACATCTAGGGCCAGGACAGGCAGAAAACAGAACAAAGAATAAAAAGAAGGAGGAAGGAATAAGATGGCAAGTGAACAGAAAGCCACAGCAGTCTCCCGCTACTGTTTTCGGTGCAGTTAGAGCTGTAGATTCTAGGATTTGGAGAGAAGCAAGTATGGGACCTGGGGTGGCCCGGGGAGTGCCTGCAGGTAGGCTTCCCGAATCCTGTCCTCATTTGGCATCCTGTGCAAGCCACTCTTTCCAGGTTCTTGGGTTTCACATAGTCAATAAAGGTATGCTCTGGCATCTGGAATGCTAGCAGCTTGGGGAACCAGTGCGGAACCCATGTTTTGCCTTTATGTACTACTGTCAAAGGGGCCAGGAGGCCCTGGGGAGAAGTGAGTGGGGTGGGAAGTTTATTTTTGTTTTTTGTTTTTGCTA